GGGTGTTAGAATACTCTCTCTCCACCTCTTCTTCTTCTCTCTAGAGTGTTATGTCGCATACTTTATATAGTCCTGGAAGAGTCCATGTTGTAGGTATGTTACGATCTCACAACAGTATTTAAATGTGTTAGGGCTTGTCTAGCATGAAAATCGATATCCAAAATACTGACTATTACCTGAGCTGAATAGATATGAACATACACAGAAATTATTATATACATATGAGGATACATTTAGTGTATTATAGTAGCTAACCAAAGTTTAAGCATAGTTATATATTTTTGACTAACTTCAATTAAATCACGTAGATTATAAAAAAGTAAACTTCACTTACTTCGTTGTATTAAATTAGTTACGGCAAAAATATATTATTGTAACTCTTTTAGAATGATCGGCAAGATCTAGCCTTCCAAATACGATATGAACATTTTATTACATTTGGTTTCTATGGAAACGAATAAAACCATATATTCTTAAAGGAAAAATGCCTCTACCACATAACCTGAACGTAATCCTGCCTGAATATTTATGATACAAATGGTGGAACTTGCGTATTGAATTTGAATTGCAATTTTCTTAAAACTGGTCAAGAGGAAAAATTCAGTCTTGAACGGGTTAAACAAAATTGCTAAATTTTGAAAAAATCTCATCCCATAGATGCAAATCTTCACATTTGTAATCTTGACACATACAAGTCCATGGCAATATGAATATATTTATATTTGTGTATGTGTGATTAATATGTGTGTGTGTGCGTGCGTGTGTGTATAGTCACGTGCAAAAGTCTGAGGCCATTTTAAACTATTGTGAATTTCTAATAGTTGCTATCTTATGAGTGGAAGTTTTTATTGTGCTCTCTACAGATAAAATTTTGCCCATATCACCATATTTTTGCAAGGGCTCTGAAGGAACCTGAAACATGGAGACTACGCCTAAAAATGACCGTGCAAAATATTTCGGCCATATTATATAAACGAAGACGCTGTGTTTTAAAACAGAAAAATATCTGTAATGAAAATTTATTATATAATTAATGCTCATTTCAAAAGTTAATATTTCCTATGGTCTCCTGTAGCTTGGATAATTGTTTCAATGCGCCTGTGATGGGATGAGTACAAATCGTTTGTCATCTTTACAGGTACTAGACACCTTTCTCTGTTGGGCTCCCACAATTCAAGATCACGTGGATTCATCTGATGTATTTTACTCATTACTTCCGGCAACATTTCATGCATTATTTAAATCAGGGCTCTAATCTGCACAATCTTTCAGTGCGGAGAAACATTCATCTATCAGTTTCAGTTGTGTTACATGCAATATGTGATATGGACGTCTGTAATGCTAAAAAATTTCCCCGTCATCCAAGTCAATCAAATGTTCCTTCAACAACGGAATATATTTCTCCTTATTCAAGCTATCATTAATTTTAATCAATTTTCTTAAACCGTCCCTTTTTATGCAGCCCTAAAGCATCAGATTCTTACCTCCCAAAATTTCACTGGTTTCGATGCGTAACATTGATCAATTCGCTTTCAAGTCGGATTTCTGACAAATTAACTTATTGGAATTCAGTTCCATTTTCGTTTTATCATTATATGGGATCTTATTCCAATCATCAGCATCTTACTGTTCATACCACTTTGACTAAATGTTACCTTGAAATGAAACGCTTCAGTCCATGTTCTTAAAGGATGCACTTAGTTTTATCTACAGACACCAAATTAAAAATCGCACTAATCCATTACTTGTCTATCGGTCTTCTTTCACTTTTTGCTGTCTTGGTCAGTCTCCTTATTATCATATGCAGCAGCTTTGAAAAGCGACCGTAGTGCTACCAGTGCTTTGAGTTTTCGAGAGGATTTCTGAAATGACGCTTCTTGACATTCCAAGTTCCTTAGCGATCGTTCGCTATTTCATATTCTTGACCATCTTCACTCTATTTCTTCAGAAACATATACCATGATTTCAAGTAATGAATGAATGCAAGAATTCGATTCAGAATTTTACCTTATGTATAGAAAAAATCGGTCCTCGTCAGAAAAAAATATTTGCCTTTTAACGGTGGAACAAAATAAAAAAAAAGGTAAGGTCAGATGGCCGAAGAATTTTGCGCGACTATTTTTGGATGTCGTCTCGCATCTTCCACCCTCCTTCAGAGGCATTGCAAAAACAGATAATTAGGTCCGAAAATGGGCAAGGTTTAATCTATAGACAGCACGATCAAAACATCCACTAGATAGATAGATAGATAGATAGATAGATAGATAGATAGATAGATAGATAGATAGATAGATAGATTGTACAAATGCATGGTGACTGTCATTTTCACACATCAGTTAAATATTCAGACCAAGTGATACTACTCCTTTAGCGGGCAGTATATATAAGTCTCTGGAGAATTTAGGAAAGTAGAAGGAGGAAAACTGGCACTATTCAGTCCTTTTTGTTTACAGCTAATGGTTTATTTGTGGTCATGAGCTAATTTTATTTAATTATAAATTTTAATTTTATTTATTTATAAATTTTAATTTTATTTATTTATAAATTTATTTATTATTTTATTTTTTTTATTTTATTTTTTTTTTTTTTTTGATATTTCTATTCCGTGTATTTTGGTATTTGATGTAAACTTTATTAGGTTATGGGGTTTTAATTCATCTTTTGGGTCACATTATGTTTGCAGATAACCTTGTAGGTATTTGTTTCTGTTCCTTCGTTTGAAAATCAGGTCTGGTCTTTTATTTTATAGTTTCTCTATCTTCTCTAGGCTAAGGTTACTTGTTTAAAAAGACAAAATAAAATGTATTTTGTGTGTACCGAAGCCAGCTTTAAGAAAAAAGAGTATAACAATATTTCATCATTTAAGCTAGAAGCATTATACAAAACTAGCTTTACACGTGTGAGAGCTAAAAGATAAAAATGGAAAAAACCCTAATATATGTTGTAGTATTTTGAAAAAAAAAAGCCAAGCCGTAGAGTATTGGAAATATATTATGGAGATTGTGTCAGGAAGAAAAGCTGGCGATTATGCTATATCTAGACAAAGGCACCTTTTTAATGAAAGTTCTGAAGTAAATTCATCTAAAGCAATATGAACCCGAATGAGATGTCAAAAATTATATATATTTTTATTTATATATTTATATGTTTATTTATTTTTTTATTTATATTTTTTATTTATTTTGCATTTATATATATATATATATATGTGTGTGTGTGTGTGTGTGTGTGTGTGTGTGTGTATGTATATATGTATATATATGTATGTATATTTTATTTATATGTATATATTTTATTTTTATATATATATATATATTCATATATTTATTTATATTTATATTTATATATATATATATATTTATTTATTTATATATATATATTTATTTATTTATATATATATATATATGTATATTTTATTTATATATATATATTCATATATATATATATATATATATATATATATGAAGAAATATAGTTTGAAGGTGTGCTATATTTATGGGATAAAGTGCTCAATATCAGAGATAGAACGTATGTGAATATAAATATAAAAGTGAATATTGAAATCAACATTCAGGGGCGAGAGGATGTTTCATGCTAGACTCAATCGTCAGGCCGTGAATGCTGGATGTTTCCTCGACTATTTATATATATGGATCATTGGTGCATTGTGGGTAATATGTTCTGGCGGTTATTTTTGCGGGAGTGGCTTGTTGCAAATTAACCCAAACAAATAAATAAATAAACAAACAAATTGTGTTTGTATTTCGCCAACGAATACCTTTTGAAAAATCGTTGGTCGAAAGGACCCTAAAGGTTTATTTTGTTCAAATTTACTTCTATATCTATATTTTCCTCTCCACTTCTTCCCTCTCACATACTTTCGCTACTCTTGCTTCACTCCTTTCCTCCCATTCAGTTTCCCACCAACACTAAAAGTGTATAAATGGACTTTAAAAAACAAATTGACCTTTTCACTACTTGACAAAGCCCTCATTGGTAGAAACCTTACTAGAGGAAAAGTTTAGTGTTTGTATTTTTTTTTTATTAATTAGATCTACACTTTCGATTTTTTGCATTGTGCACATTGAGCACTTTTTAAATATAACCGTTTACCGGACAAGGTAAACTTTGTCTGTAAAAAACTGTTTTATTACACACACACACACACATATATATATATATATATATATATATATATATATATATATATATATATATATATAATATAAATGTATATACAATAAATTGTATATGGATGTGCCTACATCGGAGAAGTGTGCAAATTTGTATAGTGAATCCTAATCTTCATAAACAGACCTCTTTTTTATCCTTTCTATATACGCGTTCTATAACACGAAAATAGGTACGTGAACACGAATTAACAAAATAGATACAGATTCCTCCACCACCAACGAATTCTCTCATTCTGTCTCCTCTCCCCTTCAACATCAATCTCTAAAGTTTATATCTCCTAATGCTATACATTTGCTTTCTTTTATTAAAAGGAAAAAAAGAAAAAAAATCTTTCCTTGCTTCTAATGACTCGAACAACGAAAAGGAAAACGTTATTTTTCCGAAAATTAAGATCAGAAATTGACATGTTTTCGTCAGCGCAGAACATGACTAAGCACATCGAGCCGACTTATTTTCCAGCTCGGTGATCGTGTTTGACGTCTCGTTGATCGCTGGGATTCGCATGCCTAACAAGAAAATTACACACACATGTACAATGAACACTGATAAACGTGATCAGAAAGTAGGAACTAACGAATGTCTACTGAAAAGCCGAAGCAAAAAAAAAATGTTTGTTGTAACCGTCTATGAATCCAAGTCATTTTGTAGAGAAATATACGTATCAGATTTTACAATCTATAAAAGTAGTTAACAAAAATATGCTCCGCTCTTAACAGATTTACCGATTGGTTACGATTATTTTTTTCAATTTCATCTACAGCCAAATAACAAAAAATAGGCTTGCTGCAACATCACATTCGAATATCGGTTTCATACGATCACCGAAGTTAAGCCAACGTTGTGCCTGGTCAGTACCTTGATGGGTGACCGCTTGGGCGTACCAGATGTTGTAAGCTTGGATGTGCGGATGGTTTAATGGATAATGTCTTGGAATTCTTAATCGGAGAGCCGAGTTCCAATTCTTTTTGGGTTCGTTATATTCACTTACGCACAAATAGCTTGGAAAAGATATGGAGGCACCACTTCTCTTACAGCAATTATGGGTTAATTAGTAAAGACTGATATCACTAAACCATTATTGTCTCAAAAAATTCTAACAGTCTAAAAATATTTTCTGGTTTTAAATAAGTTGAATAAGTCGCAGATAAACCGGTTGATAAGCCGTAAAAAACGAATCAATCAATCAATGACATTTTCTAACCAATCTCTCCAGCTAGACAGACACACAGACAGACAGATAGATAGATAGATAGATAGATAGATAGATAGATAGATAGATAGATATGAAAACTCATAGATAGATATCCAAATAGATATGAAAACGCATAGATAGATGTGAAAACGCCTAGATAGATACTGAAATGCATAGGTAGATAGATATTCAGATAGATATAAAAATGCATAGATAGATAGATAGATAGATAGATAGATAGATAGATAGATAGGTCTCGTGTTAGTGCAATTTTTCAAATACACTCATGTATTGATTGCTGTTCCACAATCCATCTTATGCAGTGTGCGTCAGTTAATAGCTCTCTCAGCAAGAAATAGAAATGTCTATTTGTTCCCTGGGAAAATATATTTTCATTCACTTGTAGAAAAGTAATTTACCCCGACACGTTATTTTCTATTACGTATATTATTCAAATTTGTCAGATTGAGTGTTGGGCCCATCCAAGACTTTTCAGTACCCTTCATTCATATATATATATATATATATATATATATATATATATATATATATATATATATATATATATGTAACAGCAAAATTGTCCATATCGTGTAACAGCATAATTATCCATCCTAAAAAATGTTTCATATCTAAAATACACTAAACTATTTGAGTTTCTTTTTTCCAGGTTTTCATATAAGACTTTTAGCCATCATGACACTATTTGTCGTAAGATTCACTGAAAAACCCGTTGGGTTATTCAGCTAAAAAAAGAACAGGTTAAAATTGTTTTGTGCCAGACCCACTGTCTTCCCAACTGAGCTGTTATTATTACTGGTACCAACGTTCATACTCTGGCTTCCATCTTCAAATTTCATTCAAGAACCAGCCAGAGAACGGTGAATAAGTTAAAAAAAAGAGGGAACAGTAGAGAGGAAAGCTGGATCAGGAGATCACATCAGCAAGAGGGATCATAATTTCAACATAGAGTTAAAGAGATCAATTAGAAAAGATTCAACTTAATTCATAAGACGTTTAGCGCGTGAGAGAGAAGTTTCCCCCCTATGATAGACCAAAGAGCAATGAAAATAAATTGGAAATGAAATCATACGTGAAACCTGGGAGGTAGATTGTTACCCTAGTACAGAAAGTTAAAAGGTTAGAGAGGATGAAGTTCATCTTGAGTAAGTTAGAAAATGATCCTGGAATTATATATATATATATATATATATATATATATATATATATATATATATATATATATATATATATATGAACTTTATTTCAATATTTCATGAGGTTTCGATCTTTAGCTATGATCAATTAATGACGTCATTTCCGTTCATGATTGATTTCATCACGATACTTTAATTAGGCTTAGAGAGAAATTATACATTCTTACTGCGCAAAGTAGAGTCCAAAAATTTAATAAAACCTCGGAGAATTCCAATAATATATCTTTAATCATTTAGATACAACGTTTCAGTGGTTAATCTAACAATTGGACAATTTTGTTGTTAGATCCATATTTTTAAATTAGTAAATTTATAATATATATATATATATATATATATATATATATATATATATATATATATAAAAATTTACTAATTTATAAATATTTATATATATATATATATATATATATATATATATAAATAAATAAATTTACTAATTTAAAAATATGGTTCCATCGCTACACAGGAATTACCATGTTTCAAAACAGAAACTAAAAACTTCAAAATTTCTTTAGCCTCGGTCTAAGTGTTTATTCAAGATGCTATGTTTCTTAATAAATATTTCTGTTTTCAGTAAAACTGTAACTTAATTTTAGGGTATTTTTATTGAAAATAGTACTGAGTTTACTATCTTTAAGAAAATGTTTAACGATTAATACAAGGAATTTTTATCCTAATTTGTTCTTTACCATTTGGTTGTATGGGGGTGTATACCAAATTATTTTTCTACTTATTTTTTTTTCTGTGCTTTCCATTTTCATTTTTTATGTAATTTAGTTTTGGGATTTTGTAGCCACTATCTTTTAGAGCTTTATCATAGAAATTAATATGTTCATAGAAAATCTTCTCACTTAATGAATTTGTACTTATTCTCTTTTCGATAGATAAAGGTATATGCTTAATTATAATTGTCAAAATGATTGAATTTTTCCTTAGAAAATACTATTATGAATGTTTGTACTTATAGAACTCAGTAAATTTGAAAATACGTTATTCCAAAATTCGCTTGAAAATGAAACAGGACTAAGGACTTAAGGATTTAATTCTATAATTGAATTTGAAGTTTTTAGCTTTTGTTAGAACTTATCGAGTGATTATAGCGGTCCACAAAAAAAATTAAGTGTAAAATTGGTCCAAAGTTTAAAAAAAGGTCGAGAACCACAGTACAAAAATGCCTGTAATGTAATCGATCATGGCATCTCGAGATCGGTCACTTTCCCACCGCCGTGATGTGGCTTCCCTCTATCTTTTCTACAAATATTTTCATGACAATTGTTCTGGCTTTTCTACTTGGTGCTTCGACTGTATGAATTTAAGTTTACTACTAGATTGACAAGTGAGTCATACTGTTTTACAGTTAGATGCAACTGTATGATCTATTCTAATATTTATCGTCTGCGGAATTGTTTTCCGGTTTCTTGCTTCCCTACTATCTACAATCTTCAAAAATCTAAATGTAACACCAATCGCCATCTTCTTTCTTCCTGATTCCTGTTCTTTTATTGTTCTTTCTCTTCACTAAAGTCTTATAATTCTCTTTTACTCACAGTAACTCCTTGCGTCTTAGTGACATTACCGTCTTGTCTGGGAAGAAAAGTTTAACAAAAAACTGGTAGATAAAACAAAATATTAAAAAAAAATATGCATATCTTTTATGACCTATGAATGCCATGCAAACTTTTCTCTAACTGATATATCGTGTGCGTTTTATTTCGCACTGTATTCTCGCTAAGAGATTAGTGTAGTATGTTTGTGTATGCTATTTTTTTTTTTTTTGATTCGGGTCTATATGTCTGTTGTTCAGTGAAGAATTATCGTTGTGTGTTGCATGCGTGTTTTTTTTCTGTACGGTATATACTCGCTGGCTGATATCTGAAGTGTGTCTATTTTCAATGAGGTATTTTCGCTGACCAATATATTTGTAACATGTCTATTTTCCTGTGCACTATTCTCTGTGGCTGACATCTGTTGTGTCTGTTGTTCAGTGTGATATTCTCTCAGAATAGTATGTATAGCTAACAGGGAACGTTCTTGCAACGTTGCAGACATGTTGTATTTTGATCGGGGAATATATGACGTTGTGGCGATATTACTGTAACTTTGCCATCAACTATTTTCCTGATCCGAAACTGACCTTTTATCCTTAATGGTGCCACATCGTTTTGGTCACGATGCCAAATGCTGTATCCGAAAACTTCTACACTGATCAAATAAAATCATAATACTTTTCTTCAGTTAACAATATGTATGGAACGTATAAAATTTTTTAATTGAGAATCATTAATTTAGATTAGGAATCCATGTTCTATATATCTTTCTTGAATTTATTATATTCATAGTAGCAGCATAGCCCGGCGTTGCCCGTGCTTGATTCCAAAATCGTACGACTCATACAGCAATCGCTATCACTTGACTTAAAATATTTTTGCCCTTCCTTGCCTTTAAAGGAGTGCTCTTTGCCGTGCTGATGTTGCTACATGCCTTACTTCTTGCTTACACTGCGAATTTTTTCTAAGCTCTATACTAAACATTAAATCTGTTACGAAAAAAGAACTAAACAAAATGAACACAAAACGATCAGCTTTAAAAAAAAAAAAGGACTCGTAACTGGAAAAACCGAATGAAAAAAGAATGTTTACAACAAATACTTTTTTCACACCCAACCCAGTTCTGCGGAATCAGAATCAACGTTGAGTTTAAGCAAGCGAATGAGCCAACTGGAGTAAAGTGCCATGCAGATTTAAATTTTTCCCACTTGTGACGAATGCAGCTATCGTTTTTTTTTTGTTTTTTTTTACATGCTAGCATGCTAGTTAACATTCGTGTCAGTCAGCTGTTGGCTCTCACGCTGGCCAATAAAATCTTCCTGCCTATTCGTGGCAGCCAGCTATGGGCTTTCACTCCACAAACTACATGAAAACTGCCGTAGAAGCATGAAAAAATCGATTATTTCCACTATCGATGGGAGTTGGGAAATGCAAAGTTGATCTTGGCCTTCTCGCTAACTTGGAGCATGTGCATGTAAATTTTGGTGCAAATCCGTCGAAAATTGCGGCCGTGCATTCGTTACGCACACACACACATCCTGCCTTTTATAGATAGAGATTCTGTTAACGTAACGTCATGTGGCAACGTATTCTTACTTACAGTACATTTCGAGATTCTTGACAAAATTCAAAGAAGGTTTGTGATATAATCGATTCTGACCTAGTATCTCGACTTCAGTCACTTTCTCACAGACGTGACGTGACTTCCCTCTGTCTTTTCTACAAATGTTTCCATGTTGAGCTTTTTTTTTCCTTACTGCCTCGACTGCATGAATTTAAGTGCACTACTAGATTGGCAACTAGGTATCACGGTTTCAGGATTGAACTAGCTAGATGAAACCGTAAGTTCTATTCAAATAGTTTCTTCTCTCTCAATTCTCACCTATTGAACTCCCTTCCAATTTCATGATTCCCTGCCACCTACAATCTTCAAAA